GAAGTTTGCCTAAATACATTTGTCAAAATAGTAATAACTTTATTACGGGAAAAACAGTTGTTCCTCCCAGTGTATACCCCCATCTATGCCCTGTGGAAGCACTTGTGGCCCTAACTTGCACTGGGAGGTAATTTTTTTAATCCTCACTTGAGGATATGTTGTTTTTTACTGATTTTAGAGAGAGGGAGAAAGAGAAACATCAATGTGAGAGAGAAACTGATCAGTTGCCTCCCGTATGTGTCCCAACCAGGGATCACACCTGCAATCTAGGTATGTGCCCTGACTGGGAATCAAACCCGAAACCTTTTGGTGTCCGGGACAACGCTCCAACCAACTGAGCCACCCGGCCAGGGCGAACTGTGAGGTAATTTTTATTTGAATGTATATCTAAGTATATAATCTAACTCTGTTTTATAGTATAAGATTGCATGATACTAGAAGCTTATATAATAAGGAAATTTCATTAATTTGTACTGAGAGTTTAATAAAATATACAATATCCCACAGGTGTATGTATAAACTTAAAAACCAGCTCAGGGTTGGTTTTATAAATCATAAATTTTAAAATCTGTAATAGAAAAAGCATCGAATTAATGTCATGAAAAATTCTTTGGTAAGTTTTCAGAAGCAGATTAACAAGTCACACATCACAATTTTAATATATTTTGCTTGTTTAGAAATCTTAAGAAAGCGCAAGACTCTGTCATTCGCACAGAAAAAGAAATAAAAGATACTGAGAAGGAAGTAGGTGACTTAACAGCAGAGCTGAAAAGTCTTGAGGAAAAGGCGACAGAGGTGATAAAGAATACAAATGCTGCAGAGGTAAGACTCAGAGGGGAGACAGTGGTATATGAAGCAGTTTCAGGAGCTGGGTATATGTCATCAGTACCTTGCGTAGTAAGTGCTCAGTAGGTTAAAACTTGTAACTATATTAACTTATCTGTACAATAAAAATATGAGCACTGTATTGGAACTTGAGTAAATAAGTTTTAATTTAAAATGGAAGGAGCATGGGGAAAGATTGCCAACTTCAGTTTTGTGATGTGAAAATACCTGTTCTTTACTTGAGAAGGTCGTATTTGTAAAGCAGTTCTTCTTGGTCTTTAGGAGTCCTTACCAGAGATCCAGAAAGAACATCGTAATTTACTTCAAGAACTAAAAGTAATTCAGGAAAATGAACATGCTCTTCAAAAAGATGCACTTAGTATTAAATTGAAACTTGAACAAATAGATGGTCACATTGCAGAACATAATTCTAAAATAAGATATTGGCAAAAAGAGGTGAGTTTGTTACTATTTAGTTAAATGTAACTTTTAAATCTCTTTTATGAAAAAGGGTTGGGTTTTGTTCGTGTGTTTGAGGTATTTTATGATTCTTAATTCCATGATACAATCACTTCCCAGGTTTATAGGGAATGTAAGAAACGTGGTAACATATACAGAAAAATCTGGGTCATCTTTAGTAATCATTTTCATCCATGGGCTGATTTGGAGATTTAACAGAAGGCTACATGGACACTTTGGAATACTACAACTATTTTTCTTGAAGTCCTTTGAAAAGTAGTTGATACACAAATTAGTGACAGATCCTTGGTATATGTCGTTTTAGTAGATAGATGTCATATTGTTGATTTGATTCTTCTTAAACAATGAATGGTAGTACCATGCTCTCCCTAACTCTTCATTTAATTGAACTTTTAGATTTCAAAAATATCACTGCATCCCATAGAAGATAGTCCTGTTGAAGAGATTTCAGTTCTGAACCCAGAGGATCTTGAAGCTATCAAGAATCCAGATTCTATAACAAATCAGATTGCACTTTTGGAAGCCCAGTGTCATGAAATGAAACCAAACCTTGGTGCCATTGCAGAGTATAAAAAGAAGGTATCAGAGTCAGGAAGTCTTTAGTCCTCCGCCTAAACTGTGACCTTCAGTTTTATATAATTAACTGTTCTCATCTCAAATTTATAACTTAATCGATATTTATTCTCATGTTCTCACAGGAAGAATTATATTTACAACGGGTAGCAGAATTGGACAAAATTACTCACGAAAGAGATAATTTTAGACAGGCATATGAAGATCTTCGGAAACAAAGGCTTAATGAATTCATGGCAGGTTTTTATATAATAACAAATAAATTAAAGGAAAATTACCAGATGCTTACTTTGGGAGGTGATGCTGAACTGGAGCTTGTAGACAGCTTGGATCCTTTCTCTGAAGGAATCATGTTCAGGTTTGTAATTAGTGAGTTTTTAGTCTTCCTGTTAGGTTGCATAGCTCCATACTTTCTCCAAACTCTTAGTTTAGGGGCAGATGTGAAGATTAGAAGAGAAACAACTCCTTTTACTTGATGATAATACTAAATTATTTACGTACTGGAAGTTTAGAGCATAAATTCTGGGCAAACAGTAAATATTTGATTTTACACATCTTTTTCTTAAATTTTGAAGTAATTTCAGTTTAACACCCAGATTTAAAAATTGCAGCATGAAAATTGCATTGGAAATGGGGGAAGAATACCAAGGAGTACTTATTAGCCTCCTGGTTTAAATCTTAAAATTTTGATAGATGTTTCTATGCATTCATCCTCCAATGTTTTTAGAAAATGACCCCCAAAAGTTTAGAATTGTGAAAAGCAAGTTAGAAATCCCCGAGAAAGGTGGTTATGGAAAACAAATCACAAAGTCTTAATTTAAATTAGCTTTACAAGTAATTTGACTAACAAGATATTTTATTTCAGTGTTCGACCACCTAAGAAAAGTTGGAAGAAGATCTTCAACCTTTCAGGAGGAGAGAAAACACTTAGTTCATTGGCTTTAGTATTTGCTCTTCATCACTACAAACCCACTCCCCTGTACTTCATGGATGAGATTGATGCAGCCCTTGATTTTAAAAATGTGTCCATTGTTGCATTTTATATATATGTAAGTAATCATTTAGAGGATTTTACCCTAAAATTTTATGGGTTCTTCAAACATTCATTGCACATGGAATTCTTTGACTTATTTCTTACTGTTGATGAGCTTTTTCCAAATTATTCTCTATGTCCTGGGGTATCAAAGGAAACAAAATCCTTTACTTGAACCAAATATTTTCTTTTTGGGAGGGTAAAATATAAATTGATAATGTAAATTAGCAGAAACACTGCTAGAATCTTCTGTCTCTGCCTAGATTTTTTTTTTTCCACTAAAAGCTTCTAAATAAGCATGCTTCCAGAAATACCAAATTCCTCTCAAATCCAAATAATTTCATACATTATCCATCCGATCTTTCCTGTTCATGTTATTTATCAATGTAATGTTAAATTTATTGCCTAAAATAGAAGTAAAGCTTAGATGTTGAGTATATGATGTACCTGTCAATACTTAATGTTTCTAACTTATTCTTTCTCTCTCTTTAGGAACAAACAAAAAATGCCCAGTTCATAATAATTTCTCTTCGAAATAATATGTTTGAGATTTCAGATAGACTTATTGGAATTTACAAGACGTACAATATAACAAAAAGTGTTGCAGTAAACCCAAAAGAAATTGCATCTAAAGGACTTTGTTAAACTTGTCTATACTGTTAAACTTGTTAATTTGAAGATTCGTCAAATTAAATCAACATAGACTCAGTGTATTGTATTACTACTGGTTTTTCTATTTGTAAAGGATTATAAACTGCATAAAAATCATATTCCTAAAGTTGATAATGTAAACTGGCTTCTAGTTCATGCTGTTATGAGTCTAATAAAATACTCATTCGCTCTAGCTGCTTCTAGATTTTAAAAACCTGACAGTTTTGTAAGCAGATTGGAGAAAATGATGCCTGGAGGGTCAGGTTACTGCCCTTTTCCCCACATTCCTACCAGCAGAGTTAAAAGTATGTTAGTTAACATTCAAGTTCTAGACTAGTTCACGTTATCAAGACACAGCATACTCTCAAGGACCTTTGACCTATAATGGAAAACCTGCCAACTACTAGTTTATAAATTCCTAAGGCAGTCCACTTAATTTACTCATGTAGACAATCACTATATTTATTACCCAAATACTGGGAACAGTTTTTTAAATCGGCCATTCTGAAATATATGAGACTGTAAATACTTTATATGCTTTTCTAAAACTTAGTGTTTAAAACACTTGCAAGAGGACCAGCAAACAATTTCTGATCATGACTAGGATATTGCATTTGGTGAAAGGAAGAAATAACCCACAATAGATGCTTCATAGAATGAAGTATACAGGGGTTAACTTAGTGTAAATGGAAATTAAGATGGAGGGATGTCTTACCTACCAGATTGTCAGGGTTTTGTTTTTCTGTTTTGTTTTTTTGACACCTACTAGCTCAAGAAATAGGTTAACTGGAAATAAGTTGGCAACCACTTCATTTTCAGAAGGAATTTCGGTATTGAATCAAGTCTTTGCCCTTACTATCCAATTTCTAGATAGTGATCCTGAGGACTTAAAAATGTTTAGCTCATTACTCAGTAAAGCATTATTTAGGTACTAAAAATCCAACAAAGGTTTATACCATAACAGCCATTAAAAATGTAAATACATTAGTGTGGTTTTAAATAAAGATCTGAAACTCAAGTATGGTCACTTGTTTGTAATTTTGATTGCCTTGTGAATAGGCAGACTGCCGCATGCAGCGCTTCATTTGGATGTGTCTGACGTCCTGGAGGCTTGATAACGCTGTTTTCCTTCAAATGAACCTTCAGAGCTTGCTTTGGAGGCTTTAGCAGGGGAGCAGTTATTTGTATACCCTTGACCCAAAAACAGTCCTCTTCCACCAAGTGCACGCAGCTTCAGGAGACACGTACCTAGCCAGTCAGATCAGGTGGCTCAACCCTGGCGATCAATGGGGTGGCAGATGTTGCAGCCAGATCCCTTCACATCCTGGTCATTTGTTTTCAACCAAGATTATGTAAGGGGAAGGACTAGGAAAGGCTATAATCAAGTGCTTTTTCATTGGTGAGGGTAGAGGTGAAGGGAATTAAATATTTTATTACATTTTAATAACATGGAGTAGAGTTTATTTTTTTTTACAAAGTTAAAGTACATGATACCCACAACCTATGTGAAACTTCCAAAGTTACCACTCCTGAGTTTGCCTTATTAAGCCACTCAATATAAATAAAATGTCAGGAGTTTATTAAAATATATACTTTTGTTATATATAAGACATAGAAATATTTCAGTATATACTTTAAATTTTACAATCTCATCCGGTAAAAATACAAAAGAAAACAGCATGTTTAAGTATCAGTTATTTGTACACAGGCATACCTTGGAGATACTGCAGGTTCAGTTCCAGACCACCCACAGCAATTGAGTCACAAAATTTTTTTGGTTTCCTAGTGCATATAAAGGTGGCTTATGCTACACATATTGCAGTCTATTCAGTATGCAACATTATATCTAAAAAACTACATACCCAAATTTAAAAATGCTTTATTGCTAAAAAAATGCTAACCATCTGAGCTTGCAGTTAGTTGTAATTTTTTGGCACAGATAGACTGGCTCAACACAGGGTTGCCACTAACCTTCAATTTGTAAAAAATCAATACTCTGCAAAAGCACAAAATGAGGTATGCCTGTATTTGACTATATTCATGCACACTACATAAAATTTAAAAGTTTAGTCTAAAAACTAGCAAGAGTCCCCCACTGGACCTACGGCCTTAGACATATGACTTGTGTTTTCATCTGTAAAGGGGGGGGGGGGTCATACCTACTTCAGAAATGAGATTAAGTGCTTGACACATAACATTTCACATATATTTACTAATATTTACACATTTAAAACTACGTCTTTGTGTTGTGACATACTTTAATCACAATCAAGAGTGTGTGTGTGTGTTCTCCCCTACTTCCATTACATCCTTCAAATGTCTTTGCCCATCCCACACAACCAACAGTTAATTGTGCTAGGTATATTATGCTGGTCATAAATGGACCTAATGCAGCCAGCCATCTTCACGTTAAGGCTCTCTTTTAAGCAAAATTCAAGAAGATTAAATTATTGGTACTTTGGCATTAGCATAAGGGAATGTTTGGCAAAAAACTCAAGATAATTTTTAAGATAAATACAGTTAACATGCTGCCATCTAAGTCTGGTAAGAATGGAATACATATTCTGTTCCAGTAATGTTTCAGAGTTTTTATCCAAGAACTGATTTCACAACTAAAACTACACAAAAGTTAAACCATAGAATATGGTATTAGAAAATGTTGCAGTTTGTTCCCAAGTAACAGATTTCCAAAAGCAATAGCTTTATAAGAAGTGAATGTTGATAAACATTTTAATACTCTTAAATCTAAGACAATGTATGGATCAGGTTTGATCAAAAATATCTTTAAGTAATCCCTTATCTCTTTAGACTTTGCAGCTAGATTTTAAAGTCTCACCCATCCTCATTTGCAAATTCAAAAGAATCAAGCCATGTCAAAAATAAATGCGTAGGCATTTTCAGGATTTTACCATCTTTTCATCCAAAAGCTACTAAGTTTGAAGAACTGCAAAGCCAGTAACTACAATATATTAATGCTAAAAGAATGTTGTTACAAGAATGTTTAAATGCCACAGCAATATTGTCATAAGTCAACCTCTCAAACCCATAAAAAAAGGATACTACTACTCAAGTAATCACTAGATTTCATTCTAGTTTTCAGATTGAAAACTAGCGACATCTCATTTTTGACGTATTTCTATCCAACAGAAGCATGAGTTTTAAAATATTTCTATATATTTGTTGCAACTTTTAGTTTGCTATTTATCCATGCAAACCCCTATTTCTCCATTTAGCAATGGTGGTTAGTCCCTGTACAGGACAAGCCTATTTAAACAAATTACATTTGCATTTTCAACGAAAAACTATTTTCCACAAGAATTCCTTCAGTAAATATAAAGTATGACACAGTATATTCTTTAAATCATGCAGACTGTTAGATAAACTTTGGTAAACAGATAGAGAAACTTCAGAAAAACATACTGAAGTGATTTCATTTAGAAAGGAGATTATGTGTTGGTTAAAAAAGAGGATCAACATCAGAATCACTGAAATTAGTGTGACTATAACAATGTTTAGAATCTTAAAAAGTTCAACTTCCTTTTCATCATCACCCCAGGAACACGGCATCCTTGTTGAAGAAATTTTCATTTCAGGAATGAGAAGTTTCTTAATTTGTCCAATTTCTGTTATGCTCCAATCTTCTTTCAATACTTGGCTTACTCGAGGATAAATTTCAATACGTTGAACCTCGGGAAGTGGACTTTGTTTCAGGATCTGCACGTGCTGGCGGACGTCATCAACTTTTTCAAGAAATTTAAGTGGAGACTCTTCTTGTAAAGATGTTGTCAATGTCATTAACTCAAGCTGCTGCTTTCTCATTTCTCTTATTCTTTCAATTTGGGGAGTATATTCTTGATTAATCAGATTGCCAACATCACAGAGAGCAGTTAGGAACAATTTTTTTTTCTGTTCTAATGTATCACTAAGCTCCTTAAAATACTGAAGAACAACTTCTTTATCACCTTGTACCATTTTCTCTGCCAGAGATTTTTCTTCTTCCAGCTTTTCAATAAGACAAGTAAGGTCTGTCCAGTGTGTGTCAGTTAACTGTTCAAGCAACTTCTGAGGCGTCTCCTTTTCTTTCAGATAGGCAGTTTGAAGATCATCTATAGGATGGCCATGATGTTGGCCTATGGTAAGGCAATGACCACACACTAATTTTTTATCTAGTAGACAGTAAACATTTAATGGTTGCCTATAATGTTCAGGGCAAGTGACAATATCTGGATGATCTTCTTGCTGGTACTTTTCAATAATAGCCCTTAATGCAAAATTAACAGGTAAAGACTCAATACCAGTTGGAGCAATTTCAATAATACTTCTGCAATTAGGGCACTTGAGTGGAATTCGTAAAGGTCTCCATATATACAAGTTACCAGATGCCTGAAGAACATTTTCCAAGCAGTTTCTACAAAATGTATGAGAGCATGGTAGTACACGAGGATCTTCAAAAATACTATAACAAATGGGACATGTTAACTCGTCCTCAAAATTGTACATTTTCTGTCAAAAGAAAAAAGTACTTTAAGTCTACATATAACAAAGATAACTGCACATATGTAAAGTTTTAGCTGTTAACCTCCAAATTGTTAATATTCTGTGCTTATCATTTAAAAGAGTTAACTGAGGTATTTACTAAGATTTTTTTAATGTAATGCAATTCCTAATATATGTTGAATAATCGATCATCTTTAAGAGCTTATTTGGGACAAAAATCATGCTAAACAAAACAATTCAAATTTATAATGCTTCAAATTGAAGTTATTTAAGTTTGTTCCTATATAATAAAGATTTAAATTCAGTGTTCTACGGAAGTCTACTTAATGTTTATAAGTACTCTGTGAAACATTTTACATTCTAAAATGCTAAATTAAGTGAGGCTTAGCAAAATAATTGTATTCTTTAATTCAAAAGAATAATTAATGCTCCCAGTTGGTTCAACCATAGTTTCTAAAGCAAGTTACAAAATTTCTCTAAGTAACTGTTATAAATTTCTTAGCTTCTTAAACTGCTACTAGTGTGCTTAAAGCCCAGGATCAGCATAGTGTAAAACTCTAAAGTAACAAATTATTTATTTATTTAAATTTTGAAAGTACATTTATTCAAGTTGAGGCAGTGAAACAAGGGCGGGCTTAGGATAGAAGAAGCAACAGGAGAGCCTAGGCAGGGCTGCTTTGGCTTGCTAGAAATTAAAGTAATTTTAGTTTGAAGATTTAGAAGGGAAAAACATCTCTGAATTGGTCTTGCAATAAAAATCAGTTTCAAAAATGAAATGTTGATTGTGGTAAATGAATTACGACTAGAACGAGTGGTAAAGAACACCATTAGTCATCTCTCCTTAATGGAAGTAGCCCAGCAATAATCCAGAGACCCTCTCTGACAAAGGAACTTGATCTCTTGGCAAACTATTACTGACATTTCCAACAAGCCTGACAGGTTTACACCTTATCACCTCCTTATAATATTTTTTTGTACCTATCAATGCAAGTCACAATCCTGGGGTGTTACTTAACCCTGATGTGGAGGAAAATCAAGTTACACCACTGTTTCAAGAATCTTGAAAAGCAAAACAAAAAACCCAAGAGTCATTCATGTAATCACCAAATCCTGCTCTGTAAAAATATTAATAAAAGTTTGAGAAAACAAATTATGTTTTCACCCTGGCCAGTGTGGCTCAGTTGGCTGGGCGTCGTCCTATGCACCGAGAGGTTGCTGGTTGGATGCCCGGACTGCAGGCTCAATCCCTGGTGGGAGCCTACAGGAGGCAGCCCATTGATGTTCCTTCTCACACTGATGTTTCTCTCCCTCTCCCTTTCTAAGAATCAATAAAAATATTTTTTTAAATAAATCAAATAATACTTTTAATAAACAAAAAAACCTATTTAGAGTTTTTAGTTCTATGCTCCTTACCTTCACCATTTTCAAAACCAAACTCTTATTCATGCTTCAAATCTCAACTTAAAGTCTTCCTCATCCCCAGATTAGGTGCCCTGTTCATCTCAACTGAACGCTCCACTCCACTTCCACTTTACAGCACTAAACTAGATTTTATTTAGAAGGATTTTGTAACATTTTTCTATCCATTAGAATGCAAACCTGCAATAAGGGCAGGAATTGTGTCTAAGCATAAACTGTGACACAAAGTAGGCATTCACTCCCAATTAGTAAACACTGCCTCTTAAGAGACTAATGTTAATGTCAGATCTTAGTTTTTTGGTTTCTTTAAAACAGCAAAATCTGTACTCTCAGGAAAAGTTGTAACAGTTGAGTCCATCAGAAAATACACTCCATTCAGGCTGACCAATATTCAGAACCCTAATAAGCCAGGATGTGTCATACTGAGACTAAGCTTCAACTGTGAAACATTCCAGGAAACTAATGTAACTGGGCAACAGTACAGAAGATGACATTCACTACACATAAATTCAAGTGAATGCATGTTGGGAAGACTTTATGACTTTACTCTGTATCTACAGAGAACTCTTAAATCATACAGAACCACCAAAGAAAAACAAACATTTCTCAGAGTATTTCAGTGACGTCACGAAGGAACAGAATAGCACTTAAGGAATAAAATTCGAGCAGTGGACATATATTCAATTTAGATTTAATATTAGAGCTACTTAATGTTTAAGTACAAAAATTATCCCTGAAACAGAATTTAACCTTTCCCTCCAAAGTTTTTCCAAGAAGCCATTTAGGGACCCCAAAAGCTCAACTTTCTTTAGGATGACGATATTCACAATACTGTAAAGAAAGTATCTCCTGAGCTCACATAAAAAGGGAAGCAAATACTACAGTCTCAAGTTTCCAGAGTACATAAAACTTTAAATAAAATTTCATCAGAAATTTGTGAATAACTTGAAGATACGGAAATCAAATTCTACTCTTGGACTACCCTCTTCTTGCTGATTTTTTAAAACTAATTTTAGGCAACAAATTCATGAGAAGTCAGATACTGAGAAGCAAGCCTGGTTGACAATAACTATAAGGCCAGGAACTTTCTGACTCTGGTTGCTGGCTGAGAAACAGAAGACATAGCTCGTAACCATGTCTAGGAGCTAGTTCTTCCAGGAACAGGCATGAAATTTTAGGCACCAGAAATTTTCCATAACCAGCCTAAACTCCTGATGGGGAGAAAAGGAGAAAAACGTCAGCTACGTGTATTTTCTAGGATGCATGTTAGACTTAGCTATGCTGCGTGTATGTAACAACACTGGACCCTCTAAGACAATGAAGCCATACCTTCCATACAGGATGGGAAAAAGTAGGTTAATAATAGTAATAAATAATCCAATAATTAATGAATAAATAAAATAAATGTGTTTCATGTACTCACAACTGTAAACCTACTTTGCCCCACCCTGCATTCTCAGGAAAAAATGGCTGCCAACCTTCTATACAAAGAAAAATAACTTTTCAGGATAGACTAAAGCAGTCTGACATGAAAGTTCTCGGAAATAAACACGTTCTCCCACTTTCTAAGGAAGCTACTGCAGTGTGAAAAGAAAGGCAAGAATTCTCACCAGGCTAATGGAGTCCAGAAAAACTGTGCAGCCTAGAGAGCAAGCAGTCTGCAGGAAGAAGACAGAGATCCAGAAGGAATGTGCTTAAGTAAATAAATGGAACTTAACAGATCATTTCATGTTTCTGAACATACTGAGAGGTAATGAGAAAACTACATTTAAGGAAAAGTGAAAGAATCATGAAAAGAGAGGAAATACGTGTAGTACATTATGTGGCTCAGTTGTCATATTAGTCACAATATTAAAAATATTAAATATTGACTTTAATAAAAAGCATGACTGTTATAGACTGTCATGTTTGTGCCCCCCCAAACTTCTTATGTTAAAATCCTAACTCCTTATGTGATGGTATTAGGAGTGGAGCCTCTGGGAGGTCATTAAGTCATAAGGGTGGAGCCCTCATGAATAAGATTAGTGTTCTTATAAGAAGAGACACTAGGACTTGCTCCCTCTCTCTCTCTCTGCTCTCCCCCATGTGAGGACCCAGCAAGAAAATGGCCATCTGCCCAGCTAGCTTGGCTCAGTGGTTGAGTGTCGACCTATGAACCAGGAGTTCACAGTTCAATTCCTGGTCCACCTGGGTTGCGGGCTCGATTCATCCTGCAGGAGGCAGCCGATCAATGACTCTCTCTTGTTATTGATGTTTCTATCTCTCCCTCTCTCTTCCCCTCTCTGAAATCAATAAAAACATATTTTTTTAAAAAAAAGAAAGAAAAGAAAATGGCCATCTGCAAACCAGCAAAAGTGCTCCCTCCAGAATCCAACTATGCTAACATTTTGATCTTAGACTTCTTAGCCTCCAGAACTGAGAAATAAATGTTTGTTGGTTAAGGCACCCAGCCTAAAACAGCCTAAAATTAAGAAAATGATATAATTATATTCGGGGGAGGGAATATGGGAAGATAACTATTTTAAGAACTAAACCTTCCCACATAAGAAGTCAATACATACCTAAAAGTGAAAAATCAAGAAATCACATTAAAAGCATATTATTTAGAAATAAAGCAGCAGCCCTGTCCAGCCAGCGTGGCTCAGCGGTTGAGCATCAACCTATGATCCAGGAGACTGAGGTTCAATTCCCAGTCAGGGCACATGCCCGGGTTGCAGGCTGGATCCCCAGTAGGGGCCGTGCAGGAGGCAGCCTATCAATGACCACTCTCTCCATCACTGATGTTTCTCTCTCTCTCCCCCTCCCTTCTTCTCTCTGAAATCAATAAAGATATATTTAAAAAAAAAAAAAGCAGCAGCCCTGGCCAGTGTTGCTAAGTAGTTAGAGCGCCAGCCCTAGGACCAAAGGGTTTCGGGTTCAATTCCCAGTCAAGGGCTTGTACCTGGGTTGCAGGTCCAATCCCTGCCCTTCTCCAGGTAGGTGTGGGAGGCAACCGATCAATGTGTCTGTGTCACATCAGTATTTTTCTCTTTCTCTCTCTCCCCCTCCCACTACTCCCTCCCTTCCATTCACTCTATAAAAAAAAATATCCTCACTCTCTTGGGGGGAGTGGAGGGAGGGGAGAGAGGGAGAAGAGGGGAGGGGAAGAAGGAAAGAGAAAATTGTTAAAAGAAATGAAAGTGCTTGCTTCTGGAGTGCAGGAATCAGCAGTAGGGAGAATGAGGGCAGGGAACTGGTTTTTTTAATTATAAACTTAAACACTGCTGTTTTACTTTCAACTATTATCATGCATTAAAAATACAAGAAAGAAAGAAAGAAAGAGAATCCTACAAACATCCTGGCAGAAAAGTAAGATACCTAAAAAAGGAAAACAAAAACATAATGGTCTCCAAATTCTCCTCAGGGAGACTGTAATTTCCAAAGACGTCTGCAACAATTATCACCCCCATATGCTCTTCTGTAATGTGACTTTGCTGGTACTCCCCCATTAAGAGATGAAACCTATTCTCCCCCCCTACTCCCATGACCCCCCCCCCTTAAATTCTGGACAGGACATGTGACTGCTGTATAAGTGAAGCAGTTCTGGGTAAGGTCCTTAACTAGCCTGGAAGGTTACTGCCTCTTACAGTTACAAAACATAAAGTAAAAAGTCTAGGCTACTCTGCTGAGAGAGGCCAACTGGAAAAGCAATGAGGTGCCAGCCATGTAAGTGAAAAAGCCATCAAGCCATCTTGGACATGCAGCCAGCCAAGTCTTCAGATGTTTGCTACACAGCAAATAGATAACCAGAACATCTCCAAAGCAACAAGGAATGCCAGAAGACATTGTAGCAATGTCCACAGAGTCTGGAAAATAACATCACCTAAGAAGTCTGTAGCCAGCCAAGATGTAATTTATTGATGTGAAACAATAAAAGTACTCTCAGCAAAATCTAAAGGTTAAAAAAATTCTACAGAGCAGAGCTGAAGCCATATACTTTCATTACCAAAGTTATACACTTTCTTAATCTAGTATAAAATGCTAATTTCCTCCAATGAGTACTAAAAGCCCAAGCAAAAATTGATAATTAGTTCAAGATTTCCTGCTTCTCTTTTAAAAGTCACCAAGATATATGCATATAAAAAATTGTTTCAAAAACAAACCTGAGGCTAAATCATGTGCTTACAAATTATTTCACAAATTTCTTGTATTTAAGTATCAAAAGCACATTTCTGAATTTCTAAACTTTTCTCCAGAGGGCTGATTTCCTATGGAGTCTCCACAGTGTCTAACCAGCCTATTACAGATGGGTCAGCACTAATAACAAATGATGACGAATTAAGCAGTACCAAAAATACCATCGCCCATTCTCCTGTGTAAACAATTTTTTAAGTTTTAATTCACTAATGTGTTATTGCCTTTCATCTCTAAACATGGATGGTTATAAAACATTCATTACATGTTACAACCACTAAAGAGAAATTATATTTACCACATTATAGAGTTAGACGACTTGCTCTAGGACTTACAGTGTGAGTCAGCTGTAAGTCTGGGAAAATTCAAGAAGTGCCACCACCCAGATTGGGGCTCACATGTTTTTGGCCCTAACTGATAAAAAGCACATGTCATGCAATTAAAGACTTACTTTAGAAATACAATTGTGCATTTTATACAAGTAGGGTAAGTTTTAAAATTACTTTTATACACATAAATTGCACAAACCAACGAAGATCACCATAACTCTTTCAAATTAAAAAAAAAAAATCCTATAGTCAGATCTGATTTTAACTCTGACCATCTGTACTGTTTTCCTGCATTTTGGTATCAACCTGTTTCCCCAAACTAAAAAAGAAACAATGCAATTTAACCAGGGAGTAAAATTTTGCTGAAAATGTCTTTTGTACTCACTTGTGTTCACCCAGCGCTTACCTGCTTTGTTGATCTTCTAATTTGAAGACTGAATATACTTTATCTTCTCCAACGTTTTCAGATTCTTTTATTCTTGTTCTAAACTTAAAATAATTTTAATGTGTTAGACGTTACATTCTCAAAAGATATATTAAATAGGAACCACAAGAATAGTTATTTCACCGTTTTTGATGTTTACCTTCCCTATGCCTCGTTTTTAGAAAAGTAATGACAAGTAACAGTTGTTGCAGCAATTCTGCGACCAAATAAATTGTCACAAAGGACTCTCTTTTATAATGTCAAGTATCTTATGAGCTCTACAGAAATATTTGCCAACAATGGTGATGACGGGGCAAGCATTCATGGTCGTTTATAGTTTGCTTAAAGTAGAAGACAAGAAGTACCCATGGCACTGAAATACTTTGCCAGCTTGAAACTGTAAGTACTGATTTAGGCTATTCCCATCAACAGGTCTGCTCATCTCTCAGCTCTGCCATTAAAATACTGAGAGGCTCTGGGTCAGGTTTAACTTAGCATCTCAGAGCTGAGGTTTCACATCTGTGAAATGGGCACAAGTACACCTACCCCCGATGAGTCCCAAAAGAACCTCTCCCAGAGAAAGGGCTAAAACAGCAGCACCCTTCCCCTTCCCTGTCTGGAAGGTTTACGAGAAACCCTCCCGGGCTTCCCTCCTCAAGCGCCCCGAGCGGCTCGGCTGCCCCTGCCCGGAGG